ATTATGATGGTCTAGTGGGTTGAAAGATACATATAGGATAAAAAGCCTAACCAACTTTGACGCCGAATAGTTTTTCTAGACAACCACTCAGGACATGGTCCTGGTACACCTTGGTATACCGGGGCTGGAGTGATGTTGGTCAAGCGGTAGGACCAACGCAAACATCACGAGGGATTTGGGAGGTGTATCTTGTTGGAATTGGCACCGCTTGTACCAATCATTAACGACAACGCATGTATACGTATGTGCACAGTCGGAGTAGCGAACACAGCGAACGTGAGCAATGATTACGGGTGAGTCGCACATCACCTAGTGCATTGGGTCGTGCCAGTCACGTTAGTAGCGAACAGGGTCTTGCCTTGGGGGTTTTGCGGTGAATATATAGACCCTAATTAGGAGGTATTACTTTAATAATTACAACGATTGTGAGCGGTGAGTAATTATTAATGTAAAAAGGAGAAACAAAATATTATATATTAATATTTAAGCGGCGAATTGATAAAATAAAATTAGTTACAGCAGTGTTGAGAAAAGTAACTAATAAAAGAAGCTCTAAAAGAAGAACTAAAATAAATTAAGCTAAACGTGTGTTTGTTATGTGGCGTGATCTTGTATGTCTTGCAAGTGAGTCTTTGATTGTGTGTGGATGTTTTGTGTGAATTCATCTATGATATGTGTGTTATCTTAACACTGTACTATATTGATTCACTTAGCTTATGCTAACACTTGTTATTTGTTTGTTGGTTTTTGTGCATTGGAACAGGCAGCTTGACATGATGCCTTGGTGAGGATGGGAACCATTGGGTAGTTTAATTTAGTATCTTTAGTTATGATACCATTTGGACATGTTGGGTTTACATCATTATGTTTTTGTGAACTTTAAATTTTGATGGGTTTGTTTTGACATGAAAGTAACATTGGTGATGTTTTTGAAATAATCATAATAAGCCTTCCGCAACGTATTCTGTTAAATAAATGTTTTTTTTTAAAATGGGTGAAAAATCAGTGTTACAAAAACCCTAATTTTAGGGTTTATGCCCCTATTTAAGGGATGTGATGGCTAGGGTTTAACACCCTCGGCCTCCATCACCTCCCTTTCACCTTCAAAGAAACCATAGGCTCCATTTTGAGAGCTTTTGGTGGCACTTTTAGTGTTTTGAAGGAGAAGAAAGAGCTCTTAGTGCATAGAGATATAGCAAACAAACCTCCTCACCATATCTTTGCACATATTTTGGACTCTTGTAAGTCCTCAAGTTTTAATCCTTATGTGTAATGCTTATAGATCTAGATTTCTTATCCCTTTTCTCCATGTTTGTGAGAGTTTGAATGGTTAGGTTCCATAAAGTTGGCAACTTTATGGATCCTTGAGGTCCCTTGGTGATTATAAGTTCTGGATCTAAATGGTTATAGGGTTTTGATTCCATGCTAGAGGTTTTGGCCTCATTTTTCACCATTTTGACCTAACTTGAGCTCAATACTTGCTTAGGACATGCATGTCTATAAAGCATCGATTTTTATGATCCATTGGTTGTAAGAAAGCCTTCTGGAAAGTATGGATGTGTGACCTTAGTGATTAAGAGCTTAATGCATTAGGATGGCCAACACAGTTCCCACGACGTGGAGGATTGGTCTCAATGATGTGGCGACAAACAGTCTTCGTGACTGTTTTGTTCTAAGGCTACCACGACGTGGCAGAAGCTTGGCCACGACGTGGCGGCCGACTGAGAGACTTTTGACTGTTGACTTTGAATTTTGACCAAGTTGACTTTTGAGTTAACTTGAGGGTTTTAAGGCCATAGATTGAGGATTTTCCTCTATTAGATGTATAGGTAGCTTGTAGTGACAGTTCTTGCCTTCATGTGGGCGGTGTTGATATCTGTTAGCTTACGATGTGAGTTTTCTCGCTTTACTTTATACTACATAATGTACCCTTGTATGTAGGATGTTGTTATTTTGTAGCGATCTATGTATCCTGGTGGATAAGATATTGTTGTGTTATAGTGATCTGTATATCCTTGCTTTACTTTATACTACATAATGTACCCTTGTATGTAGGATGTTGTTATTTTGTAGCGATCTATGTATCCTGGTGGATAAGATATTGTTGTGTTATAGTGATCTGTATATCCTTGTGTATAGGATGTGGCTATGCTCTGTTGGGTAGGCAAATATGATATGATTGCTTGTATTGTTTATGTGTATATGTCGACATGTTGTGGTTGGGTTGAGGTAGTCATGCTTTGTGTTGTATGTCAAGATACTCGGGCGGTCCAGTCAGGCTGTAGGCCCAAGGGAATGGTCCAACTATATTATAGGCCTCAAGGGGTGGTCCAGTTATACTGTAGCTCGGAGAGTTGTCCAGACATACTATAGGCCTTGTCTGGTGGTCCAGACAGACTGAAGGCTCATGTGTGCATGCATTGAATGTATTGTTATGCTGGGTATTTTGAAGAACTCATTAAACTTTAGCTTACATTTGTGGATTTCAAATGTTTTAGGTACTTCAGATGATCGGGGGAAGGAGAATGTTTGATCGTACACATCATCCTATGGATTTTTATGTTGAGAGATGGTATTTAATACTCTGATTTTGTTATTATGTTTTGAAAACAATGTTTGATTGACTTATGGTTTTTATGAAAATGGCTTTAAAAATAATAAAAAAATTACTTTGGTTTTTGGGACGTTACATTATCAAAGTGATGTCGTGTTTCACTAGCCGTGAAATCTACCCCATTTGCAATATTCCAAATCCAACAATCCATGTTTTGGGAAAAAGTTAACTCTTGCACCAAGCTTTCTGAAACTAAGAGTTGGCCAAGTATAGTCGTACCTCTTGTCTCTATGCTCCAATTCCATTTCCATTGACTATTTTCCCATTTATCATGAATAACACTGTTAGGATCCATATCAAGTGTAAATAATCTAGGAAACACATCCCTTAAAGGGACCTCCCCACCCGAACTTCGTTCTAAAAGCTAGTATTTTTTATCCATCTTCAACTATTTTTTCAATGTATGAAAATGATTTGTCCATTATTTAGATTATTTATGGAACCTACAATACTAGACCAAACTCCCATCACCCCTACTCCATCGTCACCCCCCATAAACCCGCCACCTTCACCATGCATGGATTTGACCACCTTGACCCACAAAGCCCTAAGATTCTTGACAAATCCCCACCTCCGATTCAAAAGTTGAGCACTATTAAATTTAAAAGCATCATGGCTCCCTATACCAAACCCACCCTTTTGTTTTGAGGCCATAGAAAGACTCCAAATAACCCACAATAATTTTTTCTCGTCTACATCACCACACCATAAAAACTTTGTCCTCGCAAATTCTAAAAGTCAAAAAACTTTAACCAAGAATTTAAAAATAGAACAACAATATATACCAAGAGCATCAAGCACCGACTTCATCAAAGTGTATCTACCTCCGATTAATAACATCTTAACTTTCCACCCATTCAATTTCTTTTTAAACATTTCCAAAAGAAAATACCAACTATGATGTCTATGTATATTCTGACCGATAGGAATTCCAATATAAGAAAATGGGAAAGAGTTTGAATCTTAGCATGTATCTGTCGCCATCTATGCACACCACCAAACGCCACACCAGTTCTGGAGATTGATCCTTAGGCCTAAAGCTTTATGAAAACAGTGCACTGAAACAATATTCTCCACATTACTTTTCAACCACATACCCGAGAAAAGCGCATCATCTAAAAAAGATGAGTGGTAGACGCCTCATCCTTGCCCACTTTAACATGCTTAATTAAACTTGCATCCATGACATCATGAATCACGACATTTAGGCCTCAATAACAAGAATGAAAAGAACAGGAGACAATAAATCTTCCTGACAAAGGCCTCTTTCAAAGTGAATTCTTTGGTAGGACTTCCATTCACAAGCACATGGGACCAAAGTCCATAAGCATCATAATTTTAAACAAAAAACCCCACGAACTAGAATCATATGCCTTCTCAAAGTTGATTTTGATAATCATGATAGACTTTTTCTTATGTTTTTTACACCTAACAACCATTTCATTAACCAAACTAGGGTTGCTCAATTCCCACCACGATATCCACCACTCTAGCCAACCGCTAGCAAAATGTCCCCATTGATGTGGAAGGGAACCATTTGATTATGTGTTATATCTTATGCAAAGTAGTTATTACAGATCAGCGATCGAAAGTTGAGGAAACGTTGATGGATATTTGGGAGTCCATATTTGGGGACTTTGATTAAGAGTGGCTCTCATATGATGTAATTTTTTTATGTTGGTCTAATTTGATTATACAACAAACATTTAGATGGCTTTTTTTTATCTATATTGATCGACATCATATTATGTTTTAGATATCATTGCTCCTAAAATGTTCGTGTGATGATACACATTGGACTGTCAAAATAACATTTTCTTGGTTTAATGTATGGATTGGGGTAGGTTGTTGATAAGACCTTTTAACCAGCTTGATAAGATGTTGATATGATACGTTTATGTTTAGATTACATTTCATAATTATATTTCAAATGTAATCAATTATTACGTAAAAGTGTTTTTTTTTTTCATTTGTACATGTATACATCCTTGTCAATATATAATTATGTTTCAAGTTTAATCAATTCTAACGTAAAATTATGTTTTCCTTCATTTATGTAGGTATACATCCTTATCAATACACAACTACTTGAAACTTTTACACAAGGATCTTATAGTCGTTTTAGTCCATTTTGAGTTTAGATTTGATATAGATAAAACAATATTGGCTGCAGCTTTTGCAAAGTTAGATAGATTTTCCAAAAGATTTTAGAATTAGATGACTACTTGAAACTTGTACACGAGCTTGCATAAGAGAATGTAACTTGGGTACACACACGGGCCTGCATCAAGTCCAATCCACATTAGAATTAACACTAAAGCCCTTGACCTTTATGCAAGTTTATACTACCCCAAGAACCAAGCTATGCCCTTGAAGACAAGAAAAATAACAAACTGATGAACCAAACATATATAATACTGGAGACATACAATGGAAGTGAAACATGAAGAATAAACACAAGATGAGAGAGAGATTCATGTGGATATAATCCATGGGTACAAATGTTACACTAGTTTTACAAGGGAAACCAAATCTATCCACCAACATGGAGCACATGGATGGGATGAACCAAAATGGGTAGGTAGGTATTATATCTCATAACTCAATCTATACTCTCACGAAAATCAAATCGTGTGATCTTACCAAAAAAAACAGAACAAAACCATGCGTGCCTCTATGTATGATATCTATCTCTTCCTCCCTTAAAAATCCGTTTTGCTAATATGAAAACTCATGACCTCTAAGTGAGATATATTTCTTCACCCATATAGCAATGTCCTCTGCACAAGCCTGTGCTTCAGGTGTCCTAAGAAGCATGTCAAGAGTAGCAAATTCATGAACACAGTCCTTGTAATCAAGAACAGGTGCATCCACATTCACCTTCTTTAACTCCTGTGCATATGCAATCGCCCGATCTCTCATCCAATCATGTTCTGCCACAACTGTCAATGTAGGGGGCATTCGCTTCAGAGGGGGCCCACCTCTGTTGGTGATGAGGGGATTGGCTGCAGGGTGGTCTAGGTTGAACTGTTCTTCAGGGAGGAAGAGTTTCCATGCGAGTATGCTCATGGATTTATCAAAAAAATATGAGTTTGATAGTTTTATCTCAGAACGTGTAGGGGTATTTCCAATGAAGAAAGGGTACATCAGAACTTGAGCCACCACCTTCACTGGGTCAAGTTGTTTAGCAGATTCCACTGATTTGCGAGCCACGTAATCAGCAATGTTTGCACCACAACTCACACCAAGAAGAACACATCTGTTTCAGTGTCATCTTGTTACAAACCAAATATACTTACTTGACAATAAGAAATCAAAACCTCATATCTCATAATTGTGTTAAGCTTTTGATTCTTAAGATACAGATGGTAGTCACTTCAGCTTTATAGTTTGTTATAACAAAATTTTCACATTAGCACATATCCAGAAAGAGGTGATAGGAAGGTACCTGGATGGATCTCCATGTGCAGCTAGCCAAGGCTCAACCAAAGAAGCCCCAAATGCATCTGCAATATGCCCTTGAACATCTGACTTTCTGGAATCAGGTGATCTCCCTAGGGATTTGCCACATTCTGCTAAATTTGCCTGTTTCGCCAGCCAATGGAGCACTTTTATCCCATCCTCGAAGGCAGCTGGATATCTATTCTCAGGTGCAAGCCTGTATCCAACAGCTACAACGATCACATCACACATTTTAGCAATCCTCCGACAAAAGAAGTCATTAGCCGCTGAATCACAGCTTCCTGCCACAAACCCTCCTCCATGAAACTGAACCATGAGAGGCAGTTTCCGACATCTGTTAGTGAACGGAGAATAACCTCTGTAAACACCATTCTCCGATTTCAAATTCAGATCATCCGTACTAAAACCATTGCAATAACTACTCCTCCGATTGCTTGGAGTTGCCGAAACACTATACGCATCAGCGGAACCGTAACTGTTACGCCGAGGAATGCCATTTTCCGAATTGCTTGGAAAGGATCTGGATTCAAGTTCCGATCTCTTCGCCCTAAGCCTATCAACATCGGAATCTGGCAAGACGAGACACGTTTCTGGAAGGAAGATACGAATTGAGAGACATGAAGAAGGATCTATATGGATGTCTTTGGTAGCAACGCCGTCGGTAAACAAGGGATTTGCAGCCACGATCGTCTCTTCAGGACGTGACGTAACGCCAAATGAGCTATTCGTCTCATCGTTTAAATTAGGGTTCTGGATTCGATTCTGTAACCGTCGCTTCAATATCAATTTAAAAAACACACTGTATAATTTCACAGCAACGCTAGGCATTTCTCTCCCTCGCTCTCTATCAGACGCGCACACACACACTATCCCAATCCCCTAAATCTTTATTTGCCTCAACAAACCCTAAATGCACAGAGTTAATCCCCCTCTCTATGGGTTTTGAGATCCATTCATCACAAATCAAACAATGTGAAAAGATTTATCACATTGAATAAACATTATTTTCCGATCGTCGAGTGAGAAATCTTCTCAGCAATCGAAAGCTTCTTCAATGGCGGATGTGGAGAGAGGGAGAGTGGTGAATCGGGTCGAATGATGTGCCAGGCGCGCACACTCACATTTGCGCTGTGTCGTATTTTGGCATTTTTAGGGATTGTTTGTTTTTGCCTTAAAATTCGGGAGTGAGATAGGCTAGCGTACACAATGTGATAGGCTGTGAAATTAGTTAGTGAGTCAAGGGCATTTTTGTCTTTTCTTATAGTTAGTATAGCTGGCATTCTCTGTTATGTATTTGTTCCGTATATTTAAGTCTTGTACTGAGTGCTGTAATGTTTAGACAAGAAAAATCAATTCAATTTTCCCCTTTTCAACTTGAACATGGTATCAGAGATGACGATCAAAATTCATTGATTGTTCTTCATTTTCAATTTCTGATTTCATCATGTCTAATTCATCATCTGGATCTGATTCGATAATTGGATTAAATTCATCTAATCCTTTGTTCATTGCTCCGTCTGACAACCCTAGTTCCATGGAGTAGGTTTTACTACTTGGAAAAGATCAATGACTATTTCTTTGTCTGCAAAGAACAAACTCGGATTTATAGATGGCTCGCTCCCTCAACCCTATGTTTCTTCACCTGAATATTCTGATTGGTATCGTGCCAACTCCATGGTGATCAGTTGGATCTTGAACTCTCTTCACAAGAACATAGCTGAAAGTGTATTGTTTCTTCAAACTGCTCGTGATATCCGGAAGGAATTGAATCAGCGATATGAGCAAGCTGATGGAGCGCTCATTTATCAAATTCAACAACAACCGTATTCTATCAATCAAGGATCTGATGATTTTGCTACATACTTCACCAAATTAGCTCGAGTTTGGGATGAATTGCGAATGGTTCAAGCTATTCCTTCTTGTACATGTGCTGCTGGAGTCGAAATCATGAAGTTTCTAGAAGATCAAAGACTTATTCAAATGCTCATGGGACTAGATGAATCATTCAAAGTTACTCGTGGCCAGATCTTAATGATGAAGCCATTACCTACAGTTTCTACAGCATATTCGTTAATTCTTCAAGAAGAAAGGCAAAGAGGTATTCATACATCCATGAATCTTAATTCTGAAGCAATAGCAATGCATGTTTCGTCAGTTGATAACAATAATCATGTTACAAAGAAACCTGTTACTTGCAATCATTGTAAGAAGTCTGGACATGTTAAGTCTCAATGCTATAGACTTCATGGATTCCCTGCTGATTTCAAATTCACAAAGAGTAAAAGAGATGATAATAGATCAAGTGCTCAGAACGTTATTTCCACCTCTGTTTCATCTGCTTCAACTTCTACAAACAATTCAAATGGTGGAATTTCTCAAGAACAATATAAAATCTCATGGAATTGCTCAGTAAAAGTGGTCTTGGTTCAACTAATGGAAGTCAAGCTAATGTTTCAATCATTGATGGTGCCATGAACAAAGAAGGTTGTAACAACAGCAAATTTTACGTCAAAATTAAACTTTTATAAAACCATAATTGGGATATACCAAGTGGTAGATATTGTTACGAGGTTTCCGAAAATATAAAGAACACTAAAATCCGAGTTATAACGAAGAAATTATGACCAATCGAAGATCCGCGTCAATACCGGTGAAACACTGTTAGGCGTAAAATACGAAATTGCAATAAAATACTTTTTAGCCTTAGAAATCTAAATGAAAGTCGTAGATATCATTAAACCGTGAACATACATAAAAAGAACGCCCAAATCTGACTTCGTATGAGGAAGTTATGATTTTTCGAAGTTTCGGATATAGCGGTAGACAGCTAAAAACTCAAAATAGAGATCAAGCGATTTTTAGCCGAAACATCTAAATGATAATTGAAGATCTTATCGATAGTAGTGCAACGACGGAAAAGACAGACGAAAATGGACGTCAGACGAAGGAGTTATGATTTTCTAACGGAGTTTTCCTGTTCCGGCCTACTAAAAATAATATAATAAATATATAATAAAAATAAAGTCAAAATTAGCCGACGAAGTCTAAACGAGAGTTGTAGATCATTATCTCAGCTTCGCGTCGATATAAAGAACGTCGAAAACGGAGTTCGTATGCGAAAGTTATGAATTTATGAAGTTCGGGGCGCGAAACCCCAAAACTGTCAGAGTTCACGACGTGAATTTTGGAAGATTCACGACGTGAACTCAGTTCTGACACCTCCTGCAGCCTTCCAGAGCCACTTGACAGATGACGCATGCCATGACGATTCTGGAGCAAACTCACGACGTGAATTGGGCAAAACTCACGACGTGAGACCCAAAATGACCCTATAAATAGAAATCGAAGCCTGCCGAGTTTGGCTGCTCATTCCCACCCTCTCTCCTACTTCTACTCTCTGTTAAGCCCCTCTAAACCACCCCGAAGCCCCGGTAACACTCCTGGAACACGACGCGAGCCCCGACGCCCTAGTTACGCGTCCAGATCCCGACGAAAGCTCGAAGTCCCGAAGTTCCCAAGGAACTTGCTTCTTTCCAGTCGAAGTACTGCCCGCGTGAAGCCTGATTTTCACCAGAAACCCGAGGATACGTCAAGAAAGGTCGCTCTTAGAAATGAAACGATGTCCGATTCACCTCTTATCAAGTGAGTTCATACCCCTACACCTTTTCCAAACTTTTTATATGTTTTATAGGGGGGGGGGGGAATACAAGTAAACACCCGGTTAATCCCGAGTGAAATCATTAATCTTTTGATATGCTTTTCTTGCTATTGCTACAACCATTTTATGAAACTGTTAACATGCAAAATACCTCACGACACTACTTTACCCTATCGGAATGCTTTATGCTATATAAATAGAAATATCTTTTATTTATAAAAGTACAAACTATAAACGACATCATATCAAGGATAGCTATTTCAACTACAATGTTTTGTGTATACAAATAGTTACAACTCGTTATTATGCTTTGTTTAACACTGTAAAAGGGATAATCTTTTCATATAGAATCGTATAGATTATATTGGTTATAATTTACAAATCGAAATATACGCTTTTTCTATCGCTCAAAGTTATAAATAAAAATCATTATTTTTATTTACTAAAAAGAGATGTATCAACGATTTTAGTGATCTTATTGTTAGCGAATTTATTTGTGAGACAGAGGCTTTGTTTAGTATTAAATGAAAGCCCATCCATTATAACCAGAGTCTCCCGTTCGGAGAACGTGAGTTTATGTATAGATCTATACGGGACGGACAATCCCATGTCCTGACTGTTAGCTACAGTTGGAACAAAAGTTCTGGGGTTACAAATGTCATTCACTGAAAGAATATCCGTCATATTAGTATGGTTATAGGAACTCACCGCGCGGAAACAATAATTCAACCACGAACCAACGTACTACCTATATGAACTTAGTATTTACATCAGGGTTATATATGGCTTTCATTTGATAAACAGTGGGATGTATGATTTCAGCCTCATTTCCTGTTCCTTGTTTGGTTGTGGATTTATGGTAGATTCATCCAATCGACTATTGGTTCTAGTCTTAGGCATATATAACTTGTAGGGACTAAGTAATCATGATAGGGTATTATCAGCATACTGCTGAACTCGGTAAACACAACTATAACTAGTTTTACTTAATAAAGAAAACTACCAGTTATAAAGCTAAGCATGTCATAGTTGCTTACATTTTACGGTCTTGGTCATTTGAGACTGCTTTTCACATTTAGGAAAATAATGGTTTTTCCTGTTTCAAACACACACGGTTACAACGAATCACAACTATTTTATTAGGGAAAATAAGGGATTTTCTTGAGCTAATACGATACTTTAAACACAACGAATCACAACTATTTTATTAGGGAAAATAAGGGATTTTCTTGAGCTAATACGATACTTTAAACACAACGAATCACAACTATTTATTAGGGAAAATAAGGGATTTTCTTGAACTAATACGATATTTTAAACGCAACGAATCATAACTCTTTTCATTAGAAAATATGGGATTTTCTGGAAACTTATACAAGTATCATCATGTTGATATGATTACTTAGTGGGTATGTTTGGGTTATATAAAATGAAGACTTGATAGATTGAGGAATGCATGGTTTCCGCCTCATTCCTGTTCCTTGTTTGGTTGTGGGCTTAGGGCAGATCCACTCATTCGACTGTCAGTTCTAGTCTTGATTTTATATAACTTATATGCACTAAGTAATCATGGTAGGAACTAGATTTGGTCACTTTTCATATACAAATTTCAAAGTATCATTTATCACTCTTTAAACGTAAGAATCAAATATATTTTGCCGTCGAGGCTAAGGGCTACACTTTAAACTATTAAGAAAATATAGGATTTTCTGTAATATCATACGAACATTTTCAAAGGAACAATAAACTTCTTTCTAAATCAAACGCTTATGAACTCACCAACTTAAATGTTGATACACTTTCCAAATCACTTGTATTCTCAGGAAAACTAATAAGCAGGTACTCGTGCAAGTGTCAAGAGGTTGGAGCGTAGTAGCTTCAAGTCTTTGTTTTGGTTATCTACTTTTGAAATCACATTATCTACTTTATGTATTCAATGTAAACACTATATTATCAATACAATGGTTGTTGTTGCTTTGATTACTATTTTGCAATTGTTATGATACTATTCATGATATCCTCCGCCCCCGAATGTTTCCGCCGTTTTGGTTTGGGGGTGTGACAGATTGGTATCAGAGCATTGTTTATAGTGAACTAAGTATATCAACTTATAAAAGATATACAACTATAAATACAATGGGACAAAAACACTCTGAGCAAGAGTTATACT